AGGTGTCACGAACAGACTAACCTTACGAGTCAGCTTGCAATTTGGAGGTTCTGTTTATCGGGCTCTGCTGCGCTCTCTTTCGTTTTTCGGCGATCTTATTGAACGCGACCTTTTTTGCAGTGCTAAGAGATTTTGCATGCACCCAGAAAATGCATAAAGTACTGGCCAGTTGTCATGCACTAAAATATTTTCATTATGATCAAATGAAGTTTCATTATATTAATCAACTATAAGACTGCTTTAGGTATGGACAGTAATTTATATCTTGTCTACTTCGATCCACGTAGTTTCTAGGCTTCATGATTGTCAATCAAACGTGCCTGATCTTAGTTACCAAGAACAAATAATCTCAACATAAAAATAGCAACCGTTATCAAGTATGAAAACGCAATTTATTCCAATAGGGACGGATCAATAATTATTCCAAATTAATTCCATAACCTTTACCATCTCGGTTATTTGTCACAAGGTATTATTTTGTACAATATATTTGGTTATGGAGACTGATTCATTTACTGTTTGCCTTTAGACTTCAGAAAAGATGCGTGAATCTCAGTTCTAGCTCATGCAAATTACCCCTAACAGCGCGGATCTTAATGTGATTGAAAATCTGTTTTCCTTTTCGAAGAGAGAGGTGAACGTGCTACGTGTGCATTGGACTTTGGAGGCAAAAGTGCGAATCTAAATGGAGCACAAAATAGAAAATGACTTCATAACAAAGTTGGTGGGTACGATGCCGAAAAGAGTCGGAAAAGTCCCGAAGGACAAAGGCAGACCAATCGACTATTAGTGTAAACAAACTTTACATCTTGTTTATTGTCAATGTTATTTTGCTGTTTGATAAAAAACTGATTCATTCTCTTTAGTTACCTCTCAACTCATCACGGTCTACGTCAACCACTACTGACGAAATGAGGCTGGCCGCTACATTCTTAACCATTCCATCTGTTGAGTATGAACGAATCAAAAAAATTAGGTCTATGAAGACTCACCAAGGCTTGCTTATTATCATTTACAAAGAAAAATCACTTCAGTATAAATGCTTTGCCTATGCGAAACGACAAGTATTTCACAGGGACCGGTTACTTCAGTTTCGATTAGACCTGTATGTTACCTATACGAACTATACTGATTACAGTATTAATAATAATAGGCACGGAAATCGGAACATGAACCACACAAGACGAATCACTGAACACGAATCAAGAATTAGCAATCACGGACTGGATCACGTAAGAACTAGACCACAGTATCCCACAAGACTGAAACGTGAGGAATAGGATGCAGGGACGATAGTTCGTTTATTGGAAGACATAAAGGGGATAAAATAATATGTACGAAGTAGGTTCATTGGTTATCCGGGTTTTTACCAATCGCGTTCCGGTATTGCTTGCGTCGTTTTACTTTTGTCTGGGCCGTACGATCTTTAGTTGGCTGCTACGATCTGCCTATGGTATGACGTCACAAGCAGTAACACGTACGCGCGTTGTTGACATCATCCGTGGAGCTTGATTGATTTGTCCACACCCGCCACTTCGGGTAGGCTTCATCTCCTGGGCCCGGATCACCACACGAACCCACAAGTGCTTCACAGGGACCCGTTGCTTCGGTTCCGTTTAGACCTGTGTAATAGCATTTACCGTGTAATCTGGGGATCTATTTAAAACGTGAACTTGTGTAAACTATGCCACCGCTAAACATCTGTAGTTAATAGTCTACTAACTACAACTAACTAACTGCAACCAAATTGGAGATATAAGCTTTAGGAAATCTTCGGTTTCCCGGGTGCTACCTTTTATGCAACAAATGTGCATACGGAATCGTATATGCTTTTTACCGTGTCCACCTGTACAAATCACGGAAACCGATTTAGAGATGACGACCCTCTTCGGCCGAGTTAACAACCGTCCTGGTTGTGATGGATTTGATGCTGAATCAAGCCCTGCACTCGTGCCAGGATAGCAACATCAATTGGCTTCCAGTTGTCCGACTGTCTGCTTTTATGTATGCATTGAACGGTCAGGTTTTCTAGAACGATTTTGACTGCTCATGTGGCCATGTGTGGCATGCACTGTGTACCTTAGGAGTTTAAGAGTTCGCCAAAGGATTGGAGATTTTAAGATCAAAATATCCCATGAACTGGAGAAGCATTCGAAAAAAATCAATCATTTTTCCAATCAGACAGTTAAGTTTTAACTGATACACGCCACTGGACACACATACAGGTTAACATTGGTCAGTTGGATACATTTATGGTACGGTCACAACATTCGAATGTTCGTGCAGGCTGTTTTAGTTCGACCAGCGTTACTAATCTATATGATGCAGAGATGACCTTTATCTAATCGCATCTTCCTTCACCGTTATACGTATGGATAAGAGACAGCCAGAACTAGCTAGCAGGTTTAACAACTGAAACACTACAGCATATATTTGGCAGACATTCTGACTTAATTGTTATTTTTTCTTCCTTCTGCGTTTATACAACCCATTTCACATGTCAGTAGGCCCCCGTTTAGAATTAGACTGATGGTTTCGTAGATACCCATTTGGAAAAAATACCGCTGGGTCATTCAATAATAGTAAATATGGCTAATAATTTTTCATTATTAGATTCAAGATTATTCTATCGCATTCCACTCCAGTTTTATTCGTTTATCATCTCCGGATCTCACAAACCAGTTACGCGAATCAGCCGACTAAGCAAATCGAAATGTTCTTGACATATCCCAAACATGTGTACGTATTCCCATCACGTATTACTTGCTCTTCTGCTTCATTTTAGTATCCGCGCCAAAAGATACCGGAAAAAACGATGAGGTATGTGTTCTGTGTTTCATCGCGATTTATATGCACTTTTACACTACGTGTGTGACTGTACAATGAGAATGACACGTATTCAGTTTACTGTTTTTTTTTCTTCTTTTGATTGATCTATAATTGAATTTCATTCAACGGAAAAGGATTTTCACGTGAAATTTCTTGCTTGGCAGTTGAATGTATTCATTGCGGAAGTGATTACCTTACATTGCCTTATTTTTACTGCCCAGGTCAGCAGAGAAACCGAAAGATTGGTTTCGGGAACGTAGCTAACGGTTCAAATAGTTCTGAAATAACCTTTTCCGTATGAATCTTACTGGGAAATTTCTGGTCCTGACAATACCGTTTTCAAGAACGAAACCCCCGGGAGATAGTGGAATCATTAAAAACACAACATGAAGTGGTGCTTTTGTTTGTTCAGAACATTTCCGTCTCGTGGATATCCTAGGTCAAAAACGAGTATGCATGAGAATGTGTTGATCAATTTAATGTCCTATGCTGACAGATGACCGTATATGCTTGTATGGAATTTTTGTGGCATCCACTGTTGTTGACCACGAACGCCAGTTTGCGGCAACCAATATGACGAATGCACTCCGATTCCGACCTATGATTGACATCAGCCTATACCAGTCTATTTGGAAGTCACGAATTGTGTTTCGATTTTAGAAAGACAAAAAGTCCTCTCAATATATCATATTAGGCATTCACGTATGCAGATTGTGTAGATTGGCTCATAGCCTTAGCTGAATACAAGGACGGTGTTAGCTGAAAATGAATTAAACAATTTTGAAAATGTGAACATAATTCAGCCACTGAGAAGGCTGTAGAATGAGAGAAATCATTATGGTGAAATACAGAACAATCATCTTTATGGCCATGGTGACAGCATTGCTTGAACTCGGTTGGTTTCCTTTCTCAACTTCAGTTAAACAGTCTGAATTGCTTTAAGATTTCTGTCTTTGGATCAGTCTTCTGTTCATCGTCTACCATGCGTTGCAGTATTGAGGCGATGTGGAAGGAACCAGTGCCTCTGAGAATACTTGCACCCATTCACGGCCTTCCACGGATATTTAGCCAAAGATGCATATATTTATATTGCTCTGTCACAAATGTAAAAATCAATATTTCTGCGGGGGTCATCGGAAGTCGTAAACGCTTTCATCTGCTCTGCACTGTTTTGGATCAGTGTAAATTGGTAACCCATTTATCGTGTTCATTAGAAAAT